GATACAGAAGAAATACACAGATGACTTTCTGTCTTTGGGAACTTTTGGTATATTTGGCAAAATAAATATGCCACAAAATGTTAAATATAACTAATGTATGCGGATTTCGTTTTCTTTGATCATTTCTAGTTGTTGATTTTTTTTTCAACTTTTCATGATGTTCATGTTTGGAAGAATTTTTCACATATTGAAAATTATATTCCAACATGACCATATTAGTTGTACTCGTAAAGAAAATTTGTGGAAATATTTATCATTGACTGGGCCAGCTGCGAAGTCTTGTTCTAGCTCATTCATAACGATGGCTGGATTGGAAAAGTTCATCACCTGATCTTTGTGAGGAGGCGAATTTGCTTCATGCTCTTGGTATCCAAATTCCTGAGGCTGGAGCATGCACTTGTAAAATTTGAAAACTATGTATGCATCATAATTCGTGTCTATCTCTCTACTTCACTTGAAAATGAAAAGAAGCAAATAGTCAGGCCTGGCTACATCGGAATGTTGTGGTTCAATGTTGCCTTGTGAATTTTTTTTTTTTTTTTTTTTTGAGAGGTTTTTCGCTACAGGGCGCGTGCACTCGCCAGACAGACAGAGACATAGAGACAGAAAGCGAGAAATCACCCCCCAGAGGGGATGGTCACGCCACAATCCCTTCTCCTCCATTCTCCTCTCGGGATCTTGGGCATGTACGGACACGTGCCCGGCGTGAGTTTTAAGCTACCAGGTCCGGGACGCGAACCGCGGTTGACTATGTGGGAGTCCAGCGACATAGCCATTACGCTAACTGCTGATTCCCAAAGTTGCCTTGTGATTTTAGGTGGGCTGCACTGATCATGATTTCTAGGAACCCATGCAGAAAATTTGAGGTTAAGTTCTTGGCAATACAAAGCAGAGAGATGCCTTGCTCTGTGTCATCAAGGTTTTGGAGAAAGATGACTATCATATATCATAATTTTATATATGATATACGTATCATAACATGCAGCATAATTTAAAAACCATTGCAAACATTGTCTTCTAGTTTTTGTTGCTGTTGTTTTAAATTTTGCCAAAGGTTTCATGCATTCACCAGAGAGAGAGACACACAACGTGAGAAAACCACTTGGGAATTGTCACACCATAGTTCTTTTTTCTCTACTTTGTCCTCCTTTTGGGATTTTGAGCATGCATGCACAAAAGCCTGGCATGTTTTTTAAGCTGCCAGTCTGGGACATGCACAGTTGGCCATGTGGGATCCAACCACTTTAACTACCACAGAACAAGCTGTCCCCTGCTAACCTTTCAATATATCCTCTTAGATGCCTTAAACTACATTTAAATACACAAAATAGAAGAGTTCCATCCCAAAGAAAAGGAAACATTGTCTGGAAGGTGACACTAAGGAACTTTTCAGCAGAACTTTTATTTTTCCACTGAGTTTTTATTTGAAGCATGCGAAACTAAGATTAAAATGAGATTGCTATCATCTGTGCATATAATTATCAACCTGAGAACTTGAATAAGTGCCTGGTTCTGTCCCGTTGCCACCTTATCCATGTCTATTTTGTATCACTCTGAATAAGGCTGCCAGTGCAGTGCAAAAAAAAATCAGCCATCTTGGAGTTTTGGCTCAGTAGTTAGCTGTAATTCTGGGCATAAAGATCACATTTTGTAAATGGACATGATTTGGCTTTGACATTAGGGTCTGATAAACTCAGAGGTCAGTGAGCTTGCAAATTTGGAGCATAAATCTTACAGGACCTGTCCATCAAACTTTCCATTCATCTAACCCACTCACCAAATCTGACCTTATTAGTATCACGTGAGACATTACAGATCCAAGCAGAAATGACAATATGGCAGTTCTGCCCCTTCATCATCTTTCCAACATGCCCATGGAGTAGTGAGGTACAACAGACACCACTGTGGTTACTTCTACAGAGAGTAGATCTATAGATGAGGGAAGAACAGTCCCTTAGATATTGGTCCCTGAGCCTTGCTTCTTGATAGGATGCATTGATGTGTGCTTTTAAATGGATAAGACCATGTTCTGGGGCAGCCCCATGGCTCAGAGGTTAAGCACTGTGCATTGGGAGCTGAATCTCATATGGCTGACCACAGTTTGAGTCCCAGCCCTGACAGCTTGAAAAAACATGCTGGGCATGTGTGCATGCATGCATGCCCCAAGTCCTGGCAGGGTGGGAAAATGGAAGAAAAAGATTGTGATGTAACAACCCCATGGGATTAGTGCCCAAGGGGAGGTGCTTTCTCTCTCTTCCTCTTCCAAATATATGTACCCTCTTGTAATAAACATTTTTTTAAAAAGAATTCTGAATATTCAGAGAAGTTACATTTTAATTTTCACCACACTCATTTAGAATTAGAAAAACCTAAGAAGAGTTAAGGCTGTCTAAGTCAATTTAGTCTCTATAAGAAAATACCATAGGGCCAGCCCTGTGCTGCAGAGGTAATGCACTGTTTAAGAGTAGCTGTATCCCATATGGTGACCGTATTTCAAATCCCAAGCCCAGTCAGAGCACATGCTGGAGACAAATGTCCAAGATCTGAAGGGCTTGAGGACTAGAGGGGAATCTCAGTGTCAGGAGGGCTCTCTCTCTCACACACACGCATGCATGCACACATGCAACATGTATACATGCTCTTATCATGAATAAAGGACAAAAAAATTAAAAAGATGGAAAGAAAAAAATGGCATAAACTGAGTAGCTTAACAAACAATAGAAATTTATTTCTCATAGCTCTGGAGGCTGGAAATTCAAAATCAAAGTGCCGGCAGATTTGGTGTCTGCTGAGAGCCTGTTTTCTGGTTCATAGTGGGTATGTTCTGGTTGTGTCCTCACATGGAGGAAAGGGTGAGGAAGTTCTCTAGGGCCTCTTTATAAGAGCCTGCATGAGGGCTCCAACTCTTAATACCCTCACCTTGGAGATTAGAAGTTCACCATAGGAATTATTGGGGAGCATAGACTTTCAGACCACAGCAGGCTTATATAGAGAAAGGTTAAAGATGTGAGTGGCAATACAATTATGGTCATTAGGATTTTACTCTCCTTTTCCTAATTCAAAGTCATTGCCCAAATTAGAAATTTCTTTTTTAAAATTTCTGCCATGAGTTACTTTAATGTTTATTTTTAGTTTATGCTACAAAGACTCACACAACTCCCTCATGGCCCACTCTGGTATCTGTCTGTAAATTCAGTCACTTCTGGGATGTTTGAAGCTATCACATAAGAGTTAGCTACAATTAGGTTGTGTTTGTTTCATTCAGGAAGAAAAACTTGATTGTCAAATTAATATAGGTAGATAGTTTTGTTGACAGTTTTCCTAATGGGAGAGTGGCTAAAAAAAATAGTTGATTAGATTATCTGTGTTTGATGATTAAATTTGTCATATTTACCAGATGCTGAAAAGAAACCCTTTTTTTTTTGTAGAAAATTTTGAGGGCTCAGAGAAATATAAAGAAAACTATGAAATTATCTATAATCATCTTTCATAGAACTTATACTATTTCTGTTCATTTTTATAGTTTTTAAAATATATATATTGTATGCAATTATACACATACTATATCAGTTTAAACTGCTGGTATAAAACTATCGTACTATCAAAATATCATAATATGTACTCTGGTTTTAAACTTAGTATTATCTTACCATTAATGCATTATGGTAGTTGCTTCCATTTTGCTTTAATCAGTGTTTTAAATATGTGTACATATGAATATTCCTAGGATGGGTAATTTTAGCAGTTTTACGTTTTTTTGATATAGATTGCCAAATGCTTCTTCAAAGTCTGAACTCTTTTTTATTATTTATAATAATTCTCATTTTACTTAAATTCTACCTAGATACATTTTAATGCATAAGCTATTTGCCTATTTAATAGTAAAAATATTATTTTGCTATTAGTTTTTATTTCTTATGGAGATAAACCTGTATGTGAAAATGTTCTTTTAAAACATATAAGTAAATGTTATGAGCTTAAGAAGGGGAACTATTGGGACCAGCAGGTGGCATAGTGGTTAAGGGTGCTGAATTCCCACATGGCTGACCATGGTTCGAGTCCCAGATCTAGCAGCTTTCTCTCTCTCTTTTTTTCTCTCTCTCTCTCTCTCTCTCTGTGTGTGTGTGTGTGTGTGTGTGTGTGTGTGTGTGTATGTGTGTCCCTTTCTGGTCAAATTAAAATAAATAAATAACTATACAAATAAGTAAAGTTAAATAAAAACAATAATTCTTTAAAGAAAAAAGGGAGAGGGAACCAGCAGTTAGTGCAATGGTTATGTCGCTGGACTCCCACGTAGTTGACTGCGGTTCATGTCCCGTACCCAGTGGCTTAAAACTCACGCCGGGTGCGTGTGCGTGTGTGCCCAAGATCCTGAGAGGAGAATGGAGGAGAAGGATTGCAGCGTGACCATCCCCCCTGGCGGGTGATTTCTCGCTTTCTGTCTCTCTGTCTCTGTCTGTCTGTCTGGCAAGCGCACACGCCCTATAGCGAAAACCTCTCAAAAAAAAAAAAAAAAAGAAAGAAAAAGGGGAGAACTATTAGTAGGTTTTTCATAATGTAAAAAGCATTTAAATTACATAGTTGTTTAATGAGCTCTATTAAATATATTTTATGGGGAGCTTTGCCCATGTATAAAGGGGAAGAAAGAATCTCTTTGGGTATTAGGCAAAGTATGATGATTTGGCAATAGCTGTTGGGTACAATTTCAAAATTCTCTCTGGATGTGGAATACTGGCATCTAAGTAGCTGACTAATGAGGTTTACTTGTAATGTAATGTTTTGTTTTTAAGAACTGCAGAATCAATGTGTTGAAGGTTTAAAGACTATTATATTTGTTTAAGAATTTAAGATGAAATGAGCTACTTTATTTAAAAGCAACTTATCTCTGAATAAAAAATAATTAAAGCTCCGTATAGAAATGCCTAGTAATGTTGACACTGGTAGTCCCCAGTGATAGTATTAACAATGGTAGTCATCATTTCTTTGCTTTCTGTTTTTAGGACATCCAGGCAGAAATTGATGCCCACAATGACATATTTAAAAGTATTGATGGAAATAGGCAGAAGATGGTAAAAGCTTTGGGAAATTCTGAAGAGGCTACTATGCTTCAACATCGACTGGATGACATGAACCAAAGATGGAATGACTTAAAGGCAAAATCTGCAAGCATCAGGTCAGGACAACTAATATCAAAATACAAATAATGGGAGTGGGTAGGTTTTTGAGATTTTCTTTTTTATCAGGAAGCGAAAGGTGGCAGCCTTACCACCAGTACTGCTTCCTCAGAAATAGTTTAAGATTTTTTTTATTTTTTATTATCATCATAATCTTCTTTATATTACATTGGATTACATATAACTTTACAGTGTATTACATTGTTTTTTCAAAAGGGAATGCCATGCATGTCAGTCAGTACAGAGACATTAATCTCCCCACTTCAACATTCAATATCTTTTCTATGTAGAAATAGTTTAAGATTTAAATGAAAAGACTATTTCCTTGAAAGTTATCATTTGAGCTTCACTGATGGCCAGTGTCTTCCCTTAACTGACTATTCACAGATATTCATATTTTAAAACTAACAGTACTACTAAAAATAATGTTATCCAAAGCCCGTTAACTACTGAGTAGTTACTTTAACTAAGATGTGTTAGGATCTTTACAACAATTATTCAGTACTCGAAAAGTCCTGGTAAGGTAGATAGAAAACCCCTTTTTTATATGATGAAACAACTGTTTAATGAATATAGAAACTGGCCAAATTTTTGAGCTATCAAGTGCCAGGTCAGGATTTGAATGTAGATCTTTTTGACTGTTGGCAACAAACATGTTTTGCTTCATCATGCTGTTTGTACGTCCAATTTGAAGCTATATTTATAGAATTAAATATCTCTTGGGAACATTAAATTGGAAAAGTGCTGATTCATGTCTGCATTTGGAGGGAATTAAGTTAAATAAGGGTGACCTTTAGGACCAAAATCCTGACTAGGGAAAACCTTAGAAAATTATGTAGAGTGACAGAATGATGGGGGGGGGGGGGGGCTCAATATTTTTTTGAAACCATACTTAATAGATGGTGGACAGTTTTTAACTAGGTATTAAGTATAGGGAGATAAGTCTGGAAGAACATGTTATTGAGCAAATATCCAAAAGATGAATATTGGTATAAAGTTCTACCTTGGTTTGTTTTGCTGTATCATGTATTGAAAATGTACAGCCTTAAAAGCCAGATGGTCTTGAATATGACTCTTTGTCATTACTATTTACTGTTTGATCCCCAGTAAATTACTTGGCTCATCTGGGCCTTAGTTTTCTTATTTACAAAATCAGCATATAAGTATTTAACCCACACGATTATTTTTCAGGTTGAATGGGATAATGGGATAGTTTTTTATTTTATGTAAAGCCTGTTCAATGTAGCATGTAGTTCATTTTTCTATACATAAAAGGGTAGGTAGATCTGCTTTAACTGAATTGAAGATTTAACAGAATGACTTCACAGAGAGAAGAAATCGTCAATAATGATTTATTGTGAATGAATTTTTAAAAATTTCTGTCTGGTAAAATGTCCTGAAAGCTTTTTATTTTTCTGGGGTTCATAGAGAATTTGCAGCTTCTCTTATTCCTAAAGAAGGGGTAATGTTGGCTCCATAGCAGTGGTTAAATGCTGTGCATAGAAAGCTGGATCCCATGTAGTCCAAATCCTGGTCCTGGTGCCTTGAAAACAATGCTGGGAGCATGAACATGCTTGACTGAAGTTCTGAAGAGATGAGGAAATGGAGAAAAAAAGGATTGCAGCTTGACCATGCCCCATTGAGGGGGTGGTTCTTTCTCTTTCTTCGTCTTTCTCTCTCTCCCTCTAGCAAGTGCATGTGCCCTCTGGCAATGAAAACAAATGAACAAAAGAAGGAGGTAAGGTAATATAGTATTAGTATGGACATGGACACCTTTGTGTAAAGACCTCACCGAAACTCATCAGCATCAGCAAAATACTCTTTTTTTTTAATAAGAGGAAATTTAGGAAGCATTGTACAGTGAGAAAATGTGCTTATGTTTGATTATGGCTTGAATTTTCAACTGACTAGATTCCATCAGCTTGCAACATTTCATTTCTCATAAATATAAATAAATAAAAATATTAAAAATGCTAACACAATGAAAAACATGTAAGGATTTAGCAAAACCAACAGCTAGGTCAATGAACCAAAAGCCACTGGACTGTTTCTGGTGAAGATTATACATATGTTCCTGAAATATTGAGAGTTTAGAGGATGAGTTCTTTAGGGAGAAAAGTTTAATGAAGGCCTACATCACAAACACATCATTCTAAGAGTAAAGCTAAGGGAAACAAAACAAAACAAAACAAAAACCAGCTTTGGTCTCACTTGGAAGTTATTGCCTATCAAGTCAGCTTTTCTAACCTGAAAAGAAACTGTGGTTGGAATGTCATCTGATACATAAATTAATGTTATTTTTAGAAGATGAGAGAAGCCAGTGGACTTCTGTATCAAGATAGATCATACCTTCCAGTAAAATGTGATAATGATTTAATGTGTAATGAATTAAAATAATTTTTAGTCTGATTACCCATCTCAGGAGATTCAGGTCCTTCTTCCAGCATTTAATAAAAATGCACTTCTATGTTTAAAGTATTGTTAATCATAAATTAAATGTGGTCCAAGCCCCTAGGGGTTCTTAGATCTCTTCAGGTTAAGGTCGGCCCAAAGGGAGGAGTGGGTACTCTTACATCATACAATTATCAGAGGCTTCATAAAAGAAGAGATTCCCAAGCTGACTCTTCAAAGATGCTTAATTGTTCTCCAGATGGACTGGGTGAGGACTAGGGAAGGGGCATATAGGCAGGAGGTTGAAATAACACTGTGTTTTTATGAAGGTTAACAAGTTCAGTCTGGCTGAAAATCGAGTTTGCTGGTGAAGTGGGGCAAAGACTGTGGCTTAGACAAAAGGTGGAGAGAGGAGAAAGACAAACCATGGAATACCTGTGTGCACTATGCTCCATGTCACTGTTAATGGAATTTCAAATTCTTTAGGCAATATTGTTAAATGTTGACCTTTGGTGAAAAATTCTTTTCACACAAGTATGGAGGACGGGAAGTCAGGGTGACTTGTAAAGAGACCATATTGGCATTTAGGGACAGAAAGAGAGATTAAAAGATACTTGGTTCATATTATTGAGGTTCCTGTGAGACATTCAGGAATGATAACCAGTAGTCATGGGATGGATATCTGCTCTTCTAAAGAAATTGTAGGCAAAATAAACAGATGGGGTAGAGGTGGGGTTATCCAGATAGAGGTGTCAGGAGTTAATTATTTAAGAGGGTTGAAACATAAGAAGAGGGCAAAGCAAAGATGTCCAAGAAACCCTAAAACACAAGGAATGGATGAAGGAAAGGATAGCCAGCAAAGGATCCTGAGAAGAGGCAATGCTTGAAGAGGGA